GGGGGGGAAAGCATTTTTTAGACATTTTTCAAAAATATATATTTTATCTCACCTAAATGTTCGATCATGCAGTGCATTTTTGTTTTTACACCCGTGCAATTGTTGCACAATAGCTTAGACACAGCACAAAAAAAGTTGCTCAAGCAAGTGGCAAAACATTTAAAATTCTTTTCTTACGTTATCACAAACATTCTAAATTAAAACTTACCACTGACAGAAACAGTCAGCTATATTGCCTTTCATTTAGCTTATTACAAGCAATCCTGCGGTTCATAAACAACTTTGTTTTCCTACGAGTGCCATCTATTATTGCCTTGTTTATCTAAAAGTGCTCTTTTCCTTTAAAACTAGCCAACAAGCCATATGTGTTGACTGTGAAACACAGTAGACTTTAATAATATGCATTTATGGTGTAATTACTAAATTTTCGTTTTCATATTTACCGCAAACAATGTGCTTTTACTTTAATTCAGCACTTGCAGCGCAGCAAAAATAAACTCTGTGTGGAAGCAATGCTGCAGACGCATCGCTACTGGAACGCACTGCCGGACCGCAACCGTGTGCAGGGTGAACGCATCAATCCGTTAACATGAGCGCGAAAAAAATAAGCACTGCAAACAGAGTAATGTGAACCTGGCGTTATATGTGTGCGCTGCAAGTGTGCATGAACGCTGAATGGTTTAAACACTGGCGAGAATTAAAAAGAAATGCAATTTATCAACTTTAGTGATGATGCAATACTGCCTCGATTGTGCAAGTGACAATTCCTGTCAACTGTGCCGCGTGCAGCGTGCAGCTCGCTTATAGACAGACGTGATGTGTGGTGATTTGAAGCCATTTGCGTATTTTGAGAGGGAAAGAGCGGTGATTCACTCATGCTGTTTGTGAACTTATGTCACACAGAAGGTTTTCAAATTACTTTAAGAGTTATTTAATGAAGAAATATGAATTGCACCTCACCTTCAGCATAATAATAATTTTACCCGCGCCAGACAGAGACTGAGACGGTGCCGCTGCATGTCGTGACAAACTTATCACAGCAGATGCGTCATCAGATTGAGATTGTTTTTTTGAGATCTGCCTTTTTAGAGACCGCCGATCAATCATCCCAACGTGATTATCGGCCGATAGTGATCGGTAGCTGATCAATCGGAGGACCCCTATCGGTTACACCATAGTAAAAGATTTTGTCTTTCTGTCTCTGAAGGTTTTGCCAATTCTTGAGATCTTGTATCATGTCGAGGAGAGAAACTCTCATCATGTATACATGGCCCTCATCATCCTCCTCATCCTCACAGAAGACGACACCTTCAACCGCTCCATACATGAAGTGGTGAGGTCACAGTTAATCCCAATCAGAAATCAGATAAAGAATCTGCCATAAATGGTTTTGAAGTGTGTGAATATGTGTTTGGATAGAGGTTTGAGTCTGGAACTGATTCCACATCTGTGATTCCAGGCAGGGAATGAGACCAACATGACACGTGTGTGTGTGTGTGTGTGTGTGTGTGTGTGTGTGTGTTTTCTCTCAGTATATTTATGTAACCGATGCAGGACAGATTGTATTTGCAGTTGTTTATCCATTGAGCTTATGTTTATAGATCTGAATGAAAATAACAGTGATATGCATGCACAATGTGTTTGCACATTTGTCAAGTTTTGTTTCAATGCATCAGTTATTATCATGTTTTTCATAAAAACTCACACACAGACACTGTTACTTCAGAATATACATCAACAATTGTTTGAAGATTGTGGTTTGCAGATAATTACAGTGGTGCACATTGCGCTCCAACAACTCAAAAACAACGACCAAATTTGACCAAGAAAGTTTTTTTTTAAACTGGATTTTGTTATAATACTATTTACATTTTTAACATATTAGCTTAATCTGGGGTTTTAGTAGTTACAGGACATATTTCCAAGGCTATTTTCTAGGGCTGCACGATAAATCGCATGCAATTGTCATGCGCATCTCGTCAGTAAAGCTGGTTCTGTAATCAGTAGTAAATCTCCATCACGTGCGTTCAGATGGAGCGGCATTTACTACACAGAGCTGTAGTTCACTGACAAGCTACGCAATATCGCGTTCATTATCGTAGGAGATATTAATATTGTTGATGTAGATGAGTTTGTTTCTTCATCAGATTTGGAGAAAGCATTAGCATTACATCATTTGCTCAGCAATAGATCCTCTGCAGTGAATGGGTGCCGTCAGAATGAGAGTCCAAACAGCTGATAAAAACATCACAATAATCCACAAGTAATCCACACCACTCCAGTCCATCAGTTTAGTAAAGCATTAATTTAATATACTCTATATTTCAAAAGTTTAGGGTCGTTAAGATTCTCTATGCTCGCCAAGGCTGCATTTATTTGATCAAAAATACAAAACCATAGAATAAAAAAATTGAAACCGTAATAATAAGGATCAATTTAAAGCATCCTTGATGAATAAAATATTTGTCCATCAGTTAACATAAATTTTGCTAACTGGAGGAAATAATATTATGGATAGAGGACTCGTATATTAGCCAGAAGCAATGGTTAAAAAATGTCTTAATAATGGATTTGTTTTGCAGCTTTTCATTTCAAAAGACATTAACTGATGGACTGGAGTGGTGTGGATTACTTGTGGATTATTGTGATGTTTTTATCAGCTGTTTGGACTCTCATTCTGACGGCACCCATTCACTGCAGATGATCCATTGCTGAGCGAGTGATGCAATGCTACATTTCTCCAAATCTGATCTACATCTTGGATGCCCATTTTTAGCAACTTTATTTTTTGGTGAACCATTCCTCTATTTGATGTTTATCATTTAGTGGCTGTTAGCTTTGTTTGATTTAGCTTTTAAGCAGATTTCAGTATTTAAGTCATTTCATATTTTCAGATTTCATCGTAGTTTTAGATTTAGCATGCAATAAAACCCTGCTTTAAATAGAGGAACAACTCATGTATTTATTGTTAGTTATTGTTGTTTTCTGTTCTTTTTCTCTCAGATGTTGAAGAACATCTCCTGGTATACTGAGCGCGTTCTAACGGAGATCTCTCTGGGCAGCCTGTTGATCCTGGTTGTGATTCGGACCATCCAGTTCAACATGACACGGACCAGGGTGAGACCAGAACCAGTGACAAAAAGTCACGTGAAGCTCCATAAATATCCAGATCTTTGGCCGTGGGCACATGCAAATTTATTATGTAACAGCGAGACTCACAGCAACCAGCTCATGAGTTTTACAAGATTGCTGAAGTTTTATATTAGATCTGAGAATATATTCAGTCCAGGGAGTCCAATGAACAGAGCGGGTTTTTATATTCAAAGTAAAATGGAGTCATTTCATTCTGTTTTGCCCTGCGAGAAGAAACAACACAAATTATTTATGCATGGTTTTATTGATTTCCCCTGCTTTAGGATAAATACCTCCACACGAACTGCCTGGCTGCCCTAGCCAACATGTCAGCCCAGTTTCGTAACCTACACCAGTACGCCGCCCAACGAATTATAAGGTTAGTCAACCAACAACTGGCTAGTTGATTATTGAATATTTTATTATATTATAGTGTATTGTATATACAGAACTGGCCAAAATGTGGGGTCAGTAAGATTTTTTAATAAATAAATTAATACTTTTATTCATCAAGGATGCAGTAAATTGATCCTTATTATTACGGTTTAACATTTTTTATTTGATTGTTTTGTATTTTTGATGAAATAAATGCAGCCTTGGCGAGCATAGAGAATCTTAACGACCCTAAACTTTTGAAATATAGAGTATATTAAATTAATGCTTTACTAGATTATTAATAATACTACATTAATACTTAATATATAGTATTGAAATTTAGTATATATAGTATATAATTTTTTTATATATGTAAAATGTATATGTAATAATAAAATGTTATAATACAAAATGTAGTAATCTTTAATATATAGGTTTATAATTTGTTATATAATAATATTTAACAATAATACATAATATTACATGTATATAATTAAAATGTTAGATTTTATAATATTATAATATAGTAATATATAAGTAATATTTTGTTCTGTATGTTTTTTGGTCTGATTTAATTGTTAATTTCTTATTAATAATTTTTTTACATTTCTAATTTCTTATATATAACTTGTAACTTTTATACACACACACACACACACACACACACACACATATATATATATATTTAGAGATGCACCGATCGATCGGCTAGGGATCGGAATCGGCCGATTTTCCTCATGATCGGCCCGGATCGGTGATCGGTCGGTCAGTCTCACTTCTTTCCGATTTCGAGCTGATCTGTTTTGTTACCAGCAGCACAGGCAATTACGTCAGCCGCGTATTCTCACTCTCTTCTCTCTGACGACCCCTTCTCTCTCACACACGTCTCATTCGCTCCGGTTAAATAGTGCTTGCATTGTGCATTATAGTCTTTCCCACAGGTTTTGCGCTTATGCAAACGTGAGCGCACCACCACTGATCTATATTAGTGGAGCGCACAAGCTGCGCTCAGTCTCAAACAGCTTGTGAGCCACAAATACCTAAATGAGTGGCTAACTGCGCTAAAACATTCAAATACATACAAAATTGTCAAAATGCCCGTCTTGGCGAGTATCCAGTATTTTTGTTTGTATATGCTGTCAATTATAGTTCTTAGAAAGAAAATCATACTAACGAAAAATCGGAATCGGCCAAGAAAATTGCAGTCGGTGCATCTCTAATAAATATACAGTGGGGAAAAAAAGTATTTAGTCAGCCACCAATTGTGCAAGTTCTCCCACTTAAAAAGATGAGAGAGGCCTGTAATTTTCATCATAGGTATACCTCAACTATGAGAGACAAAATGAGAAAAAAAATCCAGAAAATCACATTGTAGGATTTTTAAATAATTTATTTGCAAATTATGGTGGAAAATAAGTATTTGGTCAATAACAAAATTTCATCTCAATACTTTGTTATATACCCTTTGTTGGCAATGACAGAGGTCAAACGTTTTCTGTAAGTCTTCAAAAGGTTTTCACACACTGTTGCTGGTATTTTGGCCCATTCCTCCATGCTGATCTCCTCTAGAGCAGTAATGTTTTGGGGCTGTCGCTGGGCAACACGGATTTTCAACTCCCTCCAAAGATTTTCTATGGGGTTGAGATCTGGAGACTGGCTAGGCCACTACAGGACCTTGAAATGCTTCTTACGAAGCCACTACTTCGTTGCCCGGGCGGTGTGTTTGGGATCATTGTCATGCTGAAAAACCCAGCCACGTTTCATCTTCAATGCCCTTGCTGATGGAAGGAGGTTTTCACTCAAAATCTCACGATACATGGCCCCATTCATTCTTTTGTTTACACGGATCAGTCGCAGAAAAACAGCATGATGTTTCCACCCCCATGCTTCACAGTAGGTATGGTGTTCTTTGGATGCAACTCAGCATTCTTTCTTTCTTTCTCGAGTTTTTACCAAAAAGTTATATTTTGGTTTCATCTGACCATATGACATTCTCCCAATCCTCTTCTGGATCATCCAAATGCTCTCTAGCAAACTTCAGACGGGCCTGGACATGTACTGGCTTAAGCAGGGGGACAAGTCTGGCACTGCAGGATTTGAGTCCCTGGCGACGCAGTGTGTTACTGATGATAGCCTTTGTTACTTTGGTCCCAGCTCTCTGCAGGTCATTCACTAGGTCCCCCCGTGTGGTTCTGGGATTTTTGCTCACAGTTCTTGTGATAATTTTGACCCCACGGGGTGAGATCTTGCGTGGAGCCCCAGATCGAGGGAGATTATCAGTGGTCTTGTATGTCTTCCATTTTCTAATAATTGCTCCCACAGTTGATTTCTTCACACCAAGCTGCTAACCTATTGCAGATTCAGTCTTCCCAGCCTGGTACAGGGCTACAATTTTGTTTCTGGTGTCCTTTGATTTTGTTATTTAGACTGATTCAAACCACTGGCATGTAAAATTGAGACTGATTTGTTTCTTTTCCGAGTCTTTTGCCCAATTGATTATCAAGAACCGCTCAAAGGAGTCATTTGTGAATTGTTGTTCTGATTTAGATTCGGATTCTGATAAATTCAGACTGATTCTTTTCAAGAATCAATTCAAGAACTGCTCAAAAGAGTCATTCATGAATCGGAATGACTGGTTTCCGAATTGATTCCATTAACAATTCTTTTAGTTCTTTAAACCGATTCAAACTGTTAACGTGATGTATTGAGAGAGTTTTGGTCTTTTCTAAATCTTTTGACAAATTCATTTCAAAGAACTGCTCAAATGAGTAATTTATGAATTGAACTAGGTTGTTCGGTGACTGAGTTTGTTCTAATTTCAATTCTGCTTTCTTACTATTTCCAATAATGATTCTTTTAGTACTTTAAACTGATTCAAACCGATAACATCTGAGATTGAGATTGATACATTTCAATTAAAAAGAACTGCTCAAAAGAGTCATTTCTTAAATCAGAATAGTCAGTACTGTATGTTTGTTGTTCAGATTTCAATTCTGGTTTCTCAGTTGATTCTATTAACGATTCTTTTAGAACTTTTATACATATTCAAACCTTTAACATGGTATATCAAGAGTGGTTTAGTCTTTTCTGAGTCTTTTGACAAATTCATTCAAAAGAACTGCTCAAAAGAGTCATTTGTGAATTGAACTAGGTTGTTCTTTGAGTTTGTTGTGATTTTTAATTTTGGTTTCTTAATGTTTCCATTAATGATTCTTTTAGTAATTCAGACAAATCCAAACCAGTGACAGTCTTAGTCTATTCAGAGAATGAATTAAAAATAACCGACACTCATTTGTGAATCATTTAAAGCTGTGCTGTATGTCTGCTGTTCTTTTCTTTCAATTCGCATGCATTACAAACCCACAGCTCAGCTGAAACATCATTTCAGTGGCGGTACAATCAAACGTTATAGAGGATCTAAATAATAGCTAGTTCTCAGTCACACTAAACGCTCTCTCTTCATTTCTCCTCATTAGGAAGCGCACGATCCTGCCAAAAGACAAATGTAGCACTAAAGCAGCATTATGGCACGTTCTTCTGAAATGTCATGCCATTACATTACATTTGCCATATAATTAATGCAAAAAATATAATTTCTCTCTTTTTTTTTTTTAAATTTGATTTTGATGTTGGGGTATAATACGGCCCCTGACGGGTTTCATGAGATTATTGTGCCATGCTGAGTAGTGAACCTAAAGTCTGTTCAGTCTGTGTGTCTTTGGCTGTTTTCCACAGGTGTTCTGTGTGCTAAACAACAGAACCACACGAGTTCTGCCCAAAACACCGTCAGTCACACACACCTGATCTGATAGACCTGCTAATCTGTCAACGGCATGATAATGCCTAACCACACTCGGAGAAACACGCGCTTGCATATATTAGCAGCAGCAGTGTGTGTGTGTGTTAAAAGCCCAGGTGCACCGAAGGACCCCGTTGGAAGAGACAGACAGGGTATTTTTAGCTCTGAGTGGCTTTAAGTGTCGACAAAGTGCAGCCGTGTCCCATTAGCACAGTGAGAACGCCACCTGCTCCAGACAGACAGACAGAAAAGAGACGGGAAAATCGACAGACACCAAATGAAGCACTTCAGTTGGCCGTACACAGACAGAAGTACCAGACTGTGTGTGTGTGTGTGTCTATCAGACAGATCAAAACCCAGACCAGACGGACAGATAGTTCTGTGTGTGTGCCAGCAGGCATTTAATGTGCTCTGACTCTCTCAGTAGGTCACAGTGACATGGCATTTCATATAAACACACTCCGAGCTCTTCCTGCTGCCGCAGCACGGATCTGAACCCCAAAATAAATACAGATCAATCTAGAATCTCAGACCCAACGAGTCCTGAGCAACATTACAAAATAATCATTGTGCGATGTTTGACGTTCTGGTCGACGTGGGCTCTCTGGTTTGTGCTTGTGGGCTGCTTGTTTGCTTTAGAGGAAACGGTTGATAATAAGACCAGAGCGGGATCATAATATTTATGTTCTGATTTGTTTTCCTGTTTGCGTGGTGTTTGCTAAGTCAAGCAGCGCTATTACCGTTTCATATACTTTAAACTTCAGTGTTTGCGCATTAATGATTCCTCAAATCCTGTGTTTTTGAGGGTGTGGAGTTGTTGTGCTTAAAGAAGCACTGGCAACAACCTAGCGTCATGGAGGTGATTTATGTACAAGGGCTATTGTCATGAACTAGAACTAAAACTAAAACCATTAAGGATGCACCGAATGTTCGGCAACCAAAATTATTCGGCCGAAAAAATTTGATTTTGATGTTGGGGTATAATACGGCCCCTGACGGGTTTCATGAGATTATTGTGCCATGCTGAGTAGTGAACCTAAAGTCTGTTCAGTCTGTGTGTCTTTGGCTGTTTTCCACAGGTGTTCTGTGTGCTAAACAACAGAACCACACGAGTTCTGCCCAAAACACCGTCAGTCACACACACCTGATCTGATAGACCTGCTAATCTATCAACGGCATGATAATGCCTAACCACACTCGGAGAAACACGCGCTTGCATATATTAGCAGCAGCAGTGTGTGTGTGTGTTAAAAGCCCAGGTGCACCGAAGGACCCCGTTGGAAGAGACAGACAGGGTATTTTTAGCTCTGAGTGGCTTTAAGTGTCGACAAAGTGCAGCCGTGTCCCATTAGCACAGTGAGAACGCCACCTGCTCCAGACAGACAGACAGAAAAGAGACGGGAAAATCGACAGACACCAAATGAAGCACTTCAGTTGGCCGTACACAGACAGAAGTACCAGACTGTGTGTGTGTGTGTGTCTATCAGACAGATCAAAACCCAGACCAGACGGACAGATAGTTCTGTGTGTGTGCCAGCAGGCATTTAATGTGCTCTGACTCTCTCAGTAGGTCACAGTGACATGGCATTTCATATAAACACACTCCGAGCTCTTCCTGCTGCCGCAGCACGGATCTGAACCCCAAAATAAATACAGATCAATCTAGAATCTCAGACCCAACGAGTCCTGAGCAACATTACAAAATAATCATTGTGCGATGTTTGACGTTCTGGTCGACGTGGGCTCTCTGGTTTGTGCTTGTGGGCTGCTTGTTTGCTTTAGAGGAAACGGTTGATAATAAGACCAGAGCGGGATCATAATATTTATGTTCTGATTTGTTTTCCTGTTTGCGTGGTGTTTGCTAAGTCAAGCAGCGCTATTACCGTTTCATATACTTTAAACTTCAGTGTTTGCGCATTAATGATTCCTCAAATCCTGTGTTTTTGAGGGTGTGGAGTTGTTGTGCTTAAAGAAGCACTGGCAACAACCTAGCGTCATGGAGGTGATTTATGTACAAGGGCTATTGTCATGAACTAGAACTAAAACTAAAACCATTAAGGATGCACCGAATGTTCGGCAACCAAAATTATTCGGCCGAAAATAGCAATAAAAGCTCTTTCGGTGTTCGGCCAAATAAGCGCCGACAGCGAGAGACTGTTTAGGACTGCATCGCGTGTCTTCGATGAGAAGAGAAAGGGGTGATTGTTGCTGGTTACTGTATGATGATTGAAATCGTGAAATGGCCTTAAACAATTAGTAAATAAACTGCAGAACGTTATGTTTTCTAATACACGGACGCATTGCATTGACAGCGCTGCACGAACTCGCGGCGGATCTGCTTGTTAACCAGGGTTCAAAGTCTAAAGCGTGAGGAAAATCTGCACTGAAACAGTGTTACTCCTCAGTTGCTCAGTCACATTTTTATGAATTTTTACAAGGCATGTGACAAAGTATGTATGTATATATATGTATTAAAAAGTTAATACATATATAAAAAGTTAATTTTATATATATATATATATATATATATATAAAATTAACTTTTTAAAATAATTATATAAATAACTTTAATTCAGCATTTTTCGTTTGTTTAGTTTAAGTACTAAAATAAACTAAAAGCTAGTATATTATACTAGTATAAAAGTATATTGTCATTTAAAAAAAATAAAAATGATAAAAAGACACAATTAAAATGACTAACAATTTACTAAACTTTACTAAATTAAAGTTTTCTCAAATCCGATTGTTTCTATACTATTGTGGTATTTATTAATATTTTTAATTACCTTTAATTTTTATATTTTCAGTTTTCATTTATTTTTTTGTATTTTTATTTAGCTTTAGTTTTAGTAATTTTAGGATTTTAACGTATTGTTACCAATCCAACATTTCTAATTTGTGTTCAAGTTGTTTAAGTTTTAATCTAATATTTAGGTTTTATTTAATTTAAGCTTTATTTCAGTTAATGAAAATGTTTTTAATAGTTTTAGTTTTAATTAACAATAACAAAGCTGGGTTGCATCAGGCTAACAGACTAAAACTTTAAATTTAGAAATAAAATCTAATGTAAAATATTAATAGTAGTATATCAATGATGCTGCAATAAGTACTCAGGTTTTCTTGTGGAAAAGTGGCGCTGTATTTTGGAGGATAAGGTTTCACAGCAGATGGTGGCAGATGAGTTGATCCCGCTCTAATTTGAGACAAACTATAATGACGTTTTTTTTTCTCCATGACGCAAAATGTTTTAGCAGTCAGAATGATAATCCATGACTGCCATGACATACATATATATATATATGAAATGTTATTTTGTATTTTTACTCTGATATAATATTAATGTTATATATTTTATATATTTATATTATACATTTTACACCTCATCAGACTAAAAATGCTTTTTTTTTTTTTTTACTGGACATTTACTAAATTGAACTTCCACTGTTTGAAGTGATTACTGTTGCATACTATTTTACATACTGCTTTTTGCTACTTTACTCTACAGTATGCAGTAGGTAGTATCCTTAAAATATACCTTAATATATCCAACAGTCCAATAATATAATGGGTCTGGAATTACTTTATGGTTTATAAATTTTTCAGAAAATTCACATAGTTTTCATACCGCATTTCTAGTAATTGTAGTACAGAAGTGTGCAATTCCAAAAGTACTCAAGGATTATGAGAGTGGGTTGAAGAGAAATAAGTGTGTGTGTGTGTGTGTGTGTGTGTGTGTTCTATGACAGCTTCATACGGTTAGAACTCAAAGCATGTGCCGTCCTTTAGTGATTGATGAGGTCATCAGTATGAGACACATTAATCCTTCCCATCATGCCTGCTGCTCTCCGTCACCCCACATTGTCTTTCACATGTCTCTGTCTGGGTTATTAACATTAACTAAAACTATTCAAACATTTTTACTAATTTAAATAAAATAGATTATAAATATCAGCTAAAATACAATAAATATTAGATGAAAAATTTAACTAAACTTTAAAAACTTAAATGAAAATCAGAAATATTGGCTTGGCAAATATCTGAAAAAAAAGTTGAATTGAAGAACAAAAATTGCTAAAAGTAAAACTATTAAAAAAAATTTAATTAAAGCTTAGAAATATAAAATAATATTAAATAAAATAATAATCACACGAAAATACTAAAATTTAAATTAAATGATTAATAATTATATGTATGTATGTGTATATATACATATATATAAAAAGCCAATTAAAAAAATGAATATATACTATAATACTAAAATAAATCTGGTTCCAATAGTTTGTTGTTAGATTGTTGCTAAGCACTAATTAGCATTAAAATGCATAGTGCAAAGAAGTATTGAGTTAAATAATAGTTTTTAATTAATTAGACAATTTTTTGGTCAAAACAGTATTTTATTTTTTATTATTCAATGAAATGAAAGTATATTTATTATAAATTTATGTTGCTTTGTCTGCCATCCTTCCCTGAGCTCAGCATAATGCATTGTGGAAGGATGCTGCCTTTGAATTTTTGTCAAAATGAGGTATCTTAGCATATTTATGAGCAGTCTTAGCATGGGCAGCGTCACCTACGATGCCTTTGAATGCAGTTTCTCCGCTCTGACTCTTGGTCTTGTATCCAGATGTGCAGATTATGATCTTATACGTCTGAAAATCTGCTAGGCAAAACAAACGCAGCAGTGCTGCGACAGCGTCGTTTATCATCGTGACATGCTGTTTCTCTCTCTCTCTCTCTCAGTTTGTTTGCTCTGCTGTCAAAGAAGCACAATAAAGTTCTGGAGCAGGCGACCCAGTCCTTGCATGGGCCTCTGGGAGCAGATGACAGGACCGTTCTGCCCGACTATGTGAGTCAATCCTTGAGTCAATTCACTGATTCACACTGATTCATAAATCTTACATTCAGGTTGTTTTCGAACGTCTGTGATTTAATAAAATAAATATGATTGCTGCACGTTTCGACAGGACCGTTCTGCCCGACTATGTGAGTCAATCCTTGAGTCAATTCACTGATTCATAAATCTTACATTCAGGTTGTTTTCGAACGTCTGTGATTTAATAAAATAAATATGATTGCTGCACGTTTCAAAGTAAAAATATGCTCACGGTTTCATGACAGTTCACGATCAATGAACACTGCGCATTTATGCCAAAATAATTACTTAGAATTTACTGTTGATGTATTATGATAATGTTTACTTTATAGTGTTTCATTTCTAATATATTTTTGATGGTTTTAAGAGGACATATATTTGACCTCCATCTGTTTGAATAAGCAGCTGCAAGTAGTAAAGACATTTCTAAATAAAAGTCCAGATACATTTTGCCTAGTTTTGCATTTGCATTATGCAGAACACATTATGTTCTGGTTATTATTGGTATTTCGGTTACACAATAAACTCTATTTTGTATTTTATTCAGTAACCCCAGAACTGTCGCTTTCCCGCTGTTTTCATTGTCTTTTATCCCCATCACATCTTTTAGTAATCATCATAAATTAGATTTGAAAATTTACATTTGAAAGCTTTAAAACTCAAAATTCATCCTGTGAAAACCATTTTGAAATCGGACATTGCGTTACCATGGAAATGGTACTTTAAAATCTTTTAGCAGCCTCCTCCCCCTTAGTGGGCGGTGTCAAGTGTCATATTACCATATCATGTCATATTACATTTTTTTTTAAGCAAATTTTTTTTTAAGCAGAAGTATTTAAAAACCTAGCGTACTTTTTATTTGTATTCAAATGAAAAAAAAATGCATTTGCTTGTAAATGTTAAAATGCATAAATGTAAAATATGATTATATATATATTTTAAATAATTTTAGTAATGAGTAATGAAAGTAATTCAATTATTGCTATTAATTTTCAATGAATGAATTAATAAATTAAGCATTTATATAATGCTTTACTATGTACTACTGTACACCTAAAGCACTTTACAATCAAATCAGGGGTTTAAAATAATAATAATTATATAATAATAATAATAATAATAATAATAATTGTGCCACCACAAGCATTTAGAAGTTATCTGAGTAAAAGTAGTTATTTAAATGAGTAGAAATATAGTATTTAAATTAGTTGTGTTAAGTATGATTCAACAAGTCAGTAACAGTATTCGGGTGCAGAAATATAATAATTAAGTGTAAAATAACACAATAGTGGCTGCTGTCCTTTTAAGACCAAATGCACGGACCTAATACTGACACACATCCGGTTTCTTTCTCAGCTGTTTACTTTTTTAAGACATAACTGACTGTGTTTAGAATACTTCTCCATCCGTTTGAATAAGCAGCTGGAAGTAGTAAAGACATTTCTAAATAAAAGTCCAGATACATTTTGCCTAGTTTTGCATTTGCATTATGCAGAACCCATTATGTTCTGGTTATTATTGGTATTTCGGTTACACAATAAACTCTATTTTGTATTTTATTCAGTAACCCCATAACTGTCGCTTTCCCGCTGTTTTCATTGTCTTTTATCCCATCACATCTTTTAGTAATCATCATAAATTAGATTTGAAAATTTACATTTGAAAGCTTTAAAACTCAAAATTCATCCTGTGAAAACCATTTTGAAATCGGACATTGCGTTACCATGGAAATGGTACTTTAAAATCTTTTAGCAGCCTCCTCCCCCTTAGTGGGCGGTGTCAAGTGTCATATTACCATATCATGTCATATTACATTTTTTTTTAAGCAAATTTTTTTTTAAGCAGAAGTATTTAAAAACCTAGCGTACTTTTTATTTGTATTCAAATGAAAAAAAAATGCATTTGCTTGTAAATGTTAAAATGCATAAATGTAAAATATGATTATATATATATTTTAAATAATTTTAGTAATGAGTAATGAAAGTAATTCAATTATTGCTATTAATTTTCAATGAATGAATTAATAAATTAAGCATTTATATAATGCTTTACTATGTACTACTGTACACCTAAAGCACTTTACAATCAAATCAGGGGTTTAAAATAATAATAATTATATAATAATAATAATAATAATAATAATAATTGTGCCACCACAAGCATTTAGAAGTTATCTGAGTAAAAGTAGTTATTTAAATGAGTAGAAATATAGTATTTAAATTAGTTGTGTTAAGTATGATTCAACAAGTCAGTAACAGTATTCGGGTGCAGAAATATAATAATTAAGTGTAAAATAACACAATAGTGGCTGCTGTCCTTTTAAGACCAAATGCACGGACCTAATACTGACACACATCCGGTTTCTTTCTCAGCTGTTTACTTTTTTAAGACATAACTGACTGTGTTTAGAATACTTGCTGAAATGGGTATTTTAACATAACTTTGTGTGTATGTGAAAGAGGAATCAATTCGGTGTTCATGTGGTGTCTCTCTCTCTGTGTGTGCGCGCTTTGGGTGTGTGCAGCAGCAGCTGAGCGTACAGAAAACAGCGCGCAAGTTAAAATTGCTTGAATGTGTAAATTGGATCTACTTTCACTCTATGATGGTTAAACTTAACAGTTAATTCGCGAATCTCTTACGTGCCGAACTGTGGGGCCTGGTCCGTACAGATCATCTACAATCCGTTGCACCCCTACTGCCGATACATGCTTGCTTTGGCCTCGGCTTGTGATCGGATCTTCAGATGTTAATACCAGGTGTAAACCGCAAACCTGACATGATCTTAGAGATTTGTTTAGTGCTCCATCTCCATAAAGACATGGCTAAATGTGTGTGTGTGTGTGTGTGTGTGTGTGTGTGTGTATGTGAAAGAGGAATCAATTCGGTGTTCATGTGGTGTCTCTCTCTCTGTGTGTGCGCGCTTTGGGTGTGTGCAGCAGCAGCTGAGCGTACAGAAAACAGCGCGCAAGTTAAAATTGCTTGAATGTGTAAATTGGATCTACTTTCACTCTATGATGGTTAAACTTAACAGTTAATTCGCGAATCTCTTACGTGCCGAACTGTGGGGCCTGGTCCGTACAGATCATCTACAATCCGTTGCACCCCTACTGCCGATACATGCTTGCTTTGGCCTCGGCTTGTGATCGGATCTTCAGATGTTAATACCAGGTGTAAACCGCAAACCTGACATGATCTTAGAGATTTGTTTAGTGCTCCATCGCCATAAAGACATGGCTAAATGTGTGTGTGTGTTTGTGTGTGTGTGTGTCTCCAGACAGCAGACAGTCCTTCTGGCTAGACATAAAGACACAAAGTAGACATAAAGGGAGGGCGGGGCTTGGAGGAAGGGGGGAGGGGCTGTTTCTGGAGGTCATTTAGGTCTGTAGGTTTGACCCTATAGGGCAACAGCCAACCTGCTCTGATGCCTTCTAGAGAGGGGTGGGGTATCTGGGACAATAGGGATGTAAATGACGTGTGTGTGAGATGATGGAGAGCCTTCTGTGTGTGCGTGTGCGTGTGCGTGTGCGTGTGCGTGTGCGTGCGTGCGTGCGTGCGTGCGTGCTTGTGTGTGTGTGTGTGCGTGTGTGTGCGTGTGCGTGTGCGTGCGTGCGTGCGTGCGTGCGTGCTTGTGTGTGTGTGTTTACTCCACAAACACACAAACAGCACAATGATTGGGGGAGATGAGAGAAGCTTTTCTTGGAAATGATATTTTGTGTGAAGAGGACAGGCTATTTGAGAGAGGAAGAGATTGGTTAGTGGAGAGGGGTATTACATGAAGGGCATGTTAAAGAGAGAGTAGAGCGTTATCGAATAAATGGGACATTCACAGAAGTACAGATCAGCTGTAGGCTGATTGGTTTTCCACTCTGGATGTGGTTGTTTACTTGTGGTGAAAGGTTTGTAGGAGAGAGATGCGAGACAATGGCAATATGAAATTAAATGAAAATATTCAAGGAAGAGAAGAATAGTTTTCCAGAACGCACACAATTCTACCTAAAAAGACCAGCAGTGATCTCTTTCTTTCTTGTGGTGTTTCTGTTTATTGGTCCATCTAAACAAAGGAATGAAAGAAACTTTAGTGACACTGACCTTTTGTTTTTCTGTGTATGAAGAGGTAAAAGAGTGTATAGGGTGTGTTGTGTTTTACATTTTAGTGGGAACATACTGAAGACGGATGAACAAACATATAACATATAATAAACATATAATGAATTGAGGTATTGGATGAACAGATGGATGAACATACGGAAGGACAGATGCATGGACAAGTCTACTAAGACTAAAAATTCTCAAGTCCTGTCATGACAATAAGAAAATGTGTTTTTTTCTCTGTCTTTGTCTGTTTGTTTCAGTGAAGGTGATTGGTGGGACGCCCGTTCTCTCACTACAGGAGGAACCGGCTACATTCCCAGCAATTATGTCGCCCCTGTGGACTCAATCCAGGCTGAGGAGTAAGTGTTGGATTAGTTGTGTGTGTGTTAATCTGAACTAACTGCCTGTGTTAAGGGTGGGGGTAAAGTGATGTAATTCTAATCACTCCTACTTTAACCCATAGACCTCTCAGCAGGATGCATGACAAACCTCGGCCCACTCTAAATGAATCCAGATACAGTTGCAGTACAGGGTGGTTCCTGACTGTTATTGCTAGGCAACATTTGTGTTGTTGTTTGGGACAAATTACAAAGACACTTCCCAAAAACTGACCCATGTATTACCATTGTATCAAACCATATATGAAGATTCTTATTGAAATTATTGAATTTTGCCCTCGAAATTTTGAATGCATCCTGATTCTGTCGCTTTTGTGCCCAAATTAAATTGCAAACACAGTTTTTGGAAGCAATTTTTCCAGTCACTCCCCTATTTTGTTGTTTTGACAAACATGTAGACCCGTCCATTGGCAGAGACCACCATTGGTTGGGATAAATGTTGACATGTCAGACTTTGAAACTTGAGACTTTTAAGTCTTGAAA